TTTAAATGGACAAGAAGAAGCACAAAGGCAGGCCAAAAGACATAATGGATAATTCTGAAGTTTTCAAATACAGAGTTCATAAGTATTTATGCTACTCCTGTAAATAATGTAACTTAATTTGGTACTTTTGGCGGCATAAATGGAAAAGACTGCAAGGATGGTAAATAGTAATACAGATAAAAAGATTTTGTGAATCTAAAAAGGCAACAAACCCCCATATTTAGGGACTCTGATGAAGAAGAAGAAAAAATAAACAAAAGCAAAACCAAACGAAAACTGAAAAAGAAATGTGTTCAAATGCAACGTAAAAAAAATAAGCCATTACAGGAGAATCCAGTCAATGTCCCACCTGAGCAAAGTATCAGAATGCTTCAAAGGTAGCCAAGGTTAAGAGGGGTAAGAGTAAGCATTTCTCAAATCTTTCCCAGTGTAAGAATCTAATGTGGTGCAGGTAACTCAGACAAGGTTACTATAACTCATGCTTGGAGACTGCAATGAGATGATCAACTTTGAAACTCCACTTCTTCCCCATGGACCTTCCATCCTAAAATAGACAATCTTGAACTCCACTTTCTCAAATACCATGACCACCTCAACAGAGCCACTAACAAAAGAAACAAAAAGAGAAACAATAAAAGCACAAGCTCTTTACACTGCTCTTTCCTCTGTGATAGCATTCTTTACATTTTTCTGCTTTCCCTGAATTTCCAGCATTTAAGTTACCCTTCTTGGGATGGTCTGAGGTCACATCCGGGATCAGGCTGCTGGTGTAAGAGAGATCTAGATGGCAAAATCTTTAGTGTCAAGCAGCATACCACCCTTAACCAACAAGAAGAATCCAGGATTCTAATACTGAGCAAAAAGAATCAGAATCCACCGTGACAAGAACACACCACTGCTAACAAATACGAACAAGGACACAGAGAAGGTGTTTGATGAAAAAGATTATTTCCCCTTGCCTTGCAATAGTTCTTCCAGATTCTTCTGCAATTCCTGTTCAGCCAATAAATCTGTACAAGTAAAACACATGTGCTTAGCACAGCTATTTTTGCCAGCAGACATAAAACCAGCTTGGCACCCACCAATAGATCGCCAACTGCAGCAGCGCTTTACTACATGGTAGCATACACAGTGCCAACTAAGAGGAGAGACTGAGGAAGAAAGCAGAAGTGATGCTGTCTAGAATAGCCTTGACGGTTAGGTAGGGACAGTTTTACAATTTATGAGGTGTGGGCCCACTCTGCACACCTTATGTATGAAAGTGGCCCTTTGAGGGGCAAAGCTTGTGGTCATATGTATTTGTTTGCTTTGTGTCCTGTGCATCTACACTTTTGTACCGTTCTGGGCTTACTCATACCGTTACCACTGCATTAGTCCCACGGCAATCACTGCCAGCAGACAGCCTGAGAGCTAGTACATGTCCTCCTGTCTTAGCCCAAGCAAAATCAGACCAAATCACCATGAGCTTCAGTCTTCTTTCAGACCTACTCCTTGCACATGTTCCCAGTGAAATACATCAAGACTGAATTTGGCCTGCATCAGGAGTATTTTTCTATTTCAATTTTCTAATTGAGGAGACAAGACCTAAACACAGCATTCAGCTTCAAGTAACACGAATGCCTGGGATCCATCCTAGAACTGTTTTTCTGGTTGAGTGGCATCGAGAGCAGATATTTCAACTGAAATCAACATCAACTTGTCATTTGACTACCACTGCCTTGGTCAGAGTCCAATTAGGCAGCTGCCATTACACAGTTGGTTTGTCTGGGTGCATCCTCTAAACAGAGCAGCCCATACTTATATATTTGCCCCAGTCTGGAGTCTACACAAGCAAGTTTGCAAGCTCTGGAGCTATTTTGTGTCTCCATCACAAACAAAGGATCCCAACACATTCCTAATTCCTCTTGCAAAATGGACATCTCCAAATTCATGTTTCATGGTATTAATTTAAGGACCACAAGAATAAGAGAAGACATGCTTCTGGCCCTGAAATTGTCCATTTTCCTCAGAAAGGCAGGTAGAAACATAGTGAATATTTACTGGACTGGAAAATTCATCACAAGAGAGGCTTTTCCAGTGCTGCTAAGCTTAGGTCTTCTTGTCATTAACTCTTACAGGGGAAAATGCCCCAGATTTTAACTGCAACAAGGGGAAAAATAAGGCTTTTAAAAATTCATTCAAGCACACCAATGTTTCATTATATCCTTTGCAGAGCAGATGGCAAGATGAGGCTATGCCCCCTGGGCCTGCTTCAGGGAGCTAACACAAATGCTCTTCTCACTACAGATCTCAGATGATGTTGGTGTCATCATTTCACTAGGGGATTTGGGTCAAAAGGCTTTACACTCAAATCTGTTTTTTATATAGTACAAGCGCACCCAGACTAGACCCTGGCGGATAAGCAGTGGGGAGGCTGGTACACAGCTCAGAGCCCTTGCAGGCACTTCCAGGTCGCTGATTTACACTGGCGCATTTACAGACTGAATCTTTCTAATCCAATTAAAATCTCATCTGAGTTGTCAATACAGATGTAGCCCGTTGTATTTTAGTGTCTCGTAGAACATGCATTAATCCGGACCTGTGGACAAAGTAGCCCTTCTAGGCAAATTCTACATTCTGCCAGCCCGGTTTCTAGCCCAGGTTCTCTCACTCATAAAGCCCTAACTGCTCTCACGTTACCTGCCTACCCAGGAACTCCTATGGGTGTGCATCACCATCCCATCCCTGTACTTCATAAAAATGTGCGATATACATCATTAACCTTCTGAAAAATAGCATTTTTCTCTCCCACCTCACTACTCATGGAACGATGGCTAGGGCACTATCATTAAAAATAAGAACATGAATATGATCTATTTTCATTTCAATGGTTTCATTTGTTTGAAATGTATATGCCCGTTACAGGCTGTCAGCACATTTAATAAGTTATAGCATAGACCAACAACTCACAAACTTCAGGGGCCAAAAATTTTTACAGATCATCATGTATACTTGTCATTAAATTTTGCACCAAAAACATTATAAATCATACTGTTTAATAGACTTCCATAAGGCAGCTCTGAGCCGGTTTGCTACAAGCATGTGGAAAGCAGCATTTGCCAGGCATTAAAAAAAAAAAAAAAAGCTAAAAGCACCCTTAATACAACCACAAACTCTCAAACTCCTTGGAGAAACTGATACCCTCCTCAGTAAACAAAAGCCCAGCAGCAACTAAAACAGGTCTCTCAGTATGACCCAAAGGTAAACAAGTTCAAGTTTTAGCATGCCAAGTTCAGGAGCAAAGCACATCTGTTGGTGATGTCTTCAGGAAGGCTGGACTGAATGCTTCAAGGCAGCTTGGTATTGGAGAGAGCTGAACTTTGATACAGCAATTAAAGCTTTGCTTGTGAAAACCAATACTTAAGCAGTATCCACAAACAAATCGACAGCAGAGCAGATTACAGATTATACTTTTACTCATGAGAGATACCTGCCACTAAGCAGAATTCTCCACAGTTGGACAGCCGCACTTTCCAAGAGGAATTCAAGTAGTCTCACATAAAAGGCAAACTGTCTTAAATATAGACCAGAATGTTGTGAAGTATCTCTGTAAAAGGAGATTCCTCATCCGCTACTTAGTCAGAAGCAAGCAGACTCTCTTCTGCTGCACACCCTATTATTCCCAAAACAGTTGCAAATCCTATTGACTCCTCCCCACACCCCTGCCACAGAATACTGCAAATGCTAAAAAATTGTCATAGGTTCTAGGGAAGATGGAAACAGTTAATAGAAAAGAAATCCATACCAACGTAGTATGTACACGGAAAGCAACTTTGGTTGAGAAAGTCCTTGAGCTGAAAATTGTTAGAGGGCTAGAGAATATCCTGGAAAAGACTACCACTATGGCAACATCTTATATTCTTCCCTAGGCATCTGCTTTGGACCCCATCTTGAAATAGGAGCCCAGGCCACTGATCTGACAAACTATTGCTGTCCCTATGTTTGGTATGACATACTATAGTTGCCCATATGTTAACCTCCACTTACATACCCAAATTATATAGTTATTTTCATTCTTATAGCACTTTGAAGCCAATGGACAAGAACTTACCGGGCTAATGTCATAAGTGTAATGTAGATAGACTACTGGCAAATTCTCTAATTCTGAGATTCAATATCCTGTTTTATTCTTCATCTCAGTAGCACCACTCAGGCATATATACACTTAGAGATACCTGATTCTACATAACCTCCGATCTCAGAATAGCAATGAGATAGCTAATCAACTGAATATAATGGGTATCACCTTTACGATGCAGATTGGAAAACATCACAGCCCTATGACCTCTGCCTGTGTTTTGCTTGTGGTCTTGACAACAGTGCAAAGACACAGAAGTCATTTGATGCCAGGCACAAATAGCAAGTGCCTGCTACTAGGATCCGCAACATTTACCACAAAAGCAAACGACAAAGTTCATCTGAAATAACTGCTTGCCTTCCTGTTTGTGTCTGTTGCTGCAACAGCACCAATTCATGGTTCAAAGGCAGCTGGCAGACGAAACATAATTAGCATGGTCACCTGATTCTTGTACCTCACCAGCACTGTGTTACTGATCAACAGAACAGTATCATCCTTATCTCAGAGACCCACAAACCCTGATATTTTCCACTGCACTATATTATACAGCAGATTTTATCAGAAGCTGTTAGCAAGAAATTGTCAGGGATTTGTTCCTTCTAATATGCCCAATCCTACACTTGAAGAATTGCATAGGCTTGTAAGAATAAATAAGCATAGTTAAGCATTTTGTTGTACTTATACCCACTGCCACTGCCATCCATCCTGTCATTTGCTGATTTTCTCATAAGAAGAATATAAGTCATAGAAGAATGGGAGGGGGAAGCTTCAACAGAAGTCTTTTTCCTATCCCGAATAAGTTCCTTAAGTCCCTTTACTCCTCCTTTGAAGGGATAAGTTCATTAATCTCCTAAAATATATCAATCTGCCAGCAGAAACTTACCACAAGTTCGGAGAATCTGGCATTGAGCTCATCTGCTGGTGGGATTGGGACAGAAAACTCAAGGAACTGGAGGGGATTATTGTCCTTGAGGTTGATTTCAGGGAGGTCGCTACCCCCAAAACAACAAAGAAACCCCAACGCATGACGATTCCTCTTCCGGGGTGCCATGATCATGGTGTATGATGCTATCTTCTGATCATGTTCTGCAGGAAGAAAAAGAAAAAAAAGTACATTAAATGATAAGACTGTTGGATCTGTGCAGCTCTCTGTAGTTACAAAGCTTATCACTAGCTTAACAGCTGGGCGAGGACAGAAGGATCTAAGACATGAAAGAGCAAAATAAACACTCAAGATAGACAAGGTCACTAAGCTTTAATATGACATTCATATGTTCTTGTAGGGCAGCGTAGAATCACTTCTCCCAAAGTTTCTCCAAAGTTTTTACAAACTCAGTGTGGGATTTCCCAGCAAGTAGATTTATCAGTAACACTCAGAAGCCAAGGTTGAATGCTGCCATTGAACACCAGTATTGGCTTTTCTCTCACTACTACAGTAAAGGAGCCAAAGTATCAGAAGCAAAAAGCATATCCTGGAGAATTTATGCAGAATAAATGGAAGAATCCACTAAAGGTATCCCGTTTGATCAAAATAAAACAAACAATGAAACAATGAAGCAGAAATCAATTTTCCACCACTCTGGAGCCAGACCACCAAACACTCACTTATCCCTTTAGGGACAGGACTATCACAGTCGGACCACTTTGACTACCCCGTGTTCAAACACACGTAACTAGTTTGGGCTGCTTTATGTATCCAGGGGAGAAGCTGCACAGCGCCAACGCACGCTTTCAGATTTACATTTGAGCTGCCAGATCCCATCTTGACAGGACCCAGGCTTGAGGGGCTTTGGTATCAGGAGCGTAAAGGGAGGCAAAAGGAGGCCTGAAGGAGGAGCTGGGAAGTGACTGATTTCACCACACAACACCGTTTGTGAGCGGCCCATCCAAACAGGAAGCCTCCTGCCAGCAGTTTGAAAGGAGGGATCTGTGCAGGCCGCAGAGAGCCGCATATTTTGCCCTTTTAAGGGACTTGTTGTTTGACAGCTCAGGGGCTTATTTGTGTTATATTTTTTAAGGACTTCACTTTTTCACTTAATTTGCAGAATAAGCCACATCCTTAGAGAGTAAATAATTAAAGCCTGTTGGGAAGCCCCGGCTCCCCGGGCACGGAGCAGGGGAGCGAGGAGGGAGGTGGCAGGTGAACGGAACCGCAGGATGCTGGGTGCTGTATCAGCACCAACACAGCTGTGCTTTGTCATCCCAGCAGCTGCTGCCCCAACCTGCCGGGCAATGCTTTGGTCTGCTTGCTTGCCAGAACAAGGCTGCTTTGAGCTCTCGTAAAGACTAAGTAGCTGTGCTAGGAAAAGCACCTCTAGGACATCAGTTGCCTAGTGGGACTTAACACACTGCACCCAGCCAGAAGCTCTCCAGGGACTTTTTGTGTAGAAATCAGCATGCTCACTTAAGAAAAAACTAAGCAACAAAAAAAAAACCCAAACCACCACGCTTGTGGCACTATGTGCTTGGCAGGAATCACCTGCCCTACTTGTGCTGGTATTAATTTATCTACCGCCTCCTCTTATGCACTGGAGGGGATTCAGCTGCAGCTCTCATGCCCATGCCTTCTGGCATGCCCACCTTCCTTTGCTCTCCATGCCCCTAGAGTTGGCTTCAAAAGCACATTCATAAGATCATTGGCATCCAGTGATGATGAGAATCCAAAGGCAAACTTAACCCTGGAACCTGTCTCTGACACTGGTTCTGTCAGAAAAACCAAAATTCCCTCAAATCTAGCACAACAACATGCACAGCAACTTCTGTTTCCTCTCTGTGGTGGAGACTTAAGAGATTCAGTTCTTAAAAGATTTCACAAGAGAGCCTCAGAAGTTGTTGAAATTGTCCACCACAGACCATCTTCTCAGGGACTTTATGGTAATAGTGGATGACACTTAAACGACAAGATTTTGTTTTGAAAGAACTCCAGAACTGATTTACATACAATATAAGTACATTTGCATCAATTCAGTTGTAACTGAGTTCTGGCCCCCTGTCTAGAGGCTTCCCCATCAACCATGAAAGGACCAGAATTATCTGGGGCATGGACAATGAATCCTCCTTGGAAAAATTGGCTGGGACATTGAAGTGGTAGGAGCATGACATCTTCCTTTATGAGCTCAGGTGAGGACTTTGGTAAACAGTCCTCCAAAAGAGGTACCTTACCAGGAAATGAGTACTACATGAATGAATATGAAGGCCAACATTTTCCACAGGGTAAGTAGTGCCTTGATCAGGTCACCACAGATTGTCTTGTACTGATATTTCATCGCTCAGCTTTCACCTTAGGTAAGTTCACCAAAGATGTGAACAGTGAGTCCCCAGGCCTTCTTCATCCATAACGCCGAAAAAATACCCCACCCACAAATTAGTGCTTGTTCCTTTGGTGTTTTTACAAAATTGGCATCTGTTCCTTGAGATCCATACTTGAGAAACTCAGCGCAGCTACTCAGCTTTTACTACTCTGCAAAAGCATGGAGAGCTCAAATGAAGAGTAAACTTGTATTGACTCAGTTTCACAAAGTATCATTCCATAGCACAACTCATACTCTCAACACTGGCGTTTTCCAGGTCCATCTGTAAGTGGCATACAGGAAATTCATACTGACACCGAGGGATAAAACGCCACTTTTGTATTGCCACAACACTGTAACTGTAGATAGGTGAGGTCTCTAGACTCTTCTAAAGTAAGAACAATGGAGGACTGCTAGAGAGGAATCCAGCACAGATATTATAGAATTGAATCACTGAATGAATGAATATTTCTAAGTGGGAACACTGTCTTTCTAAACATTAAGCCTGCCAATCACAGGATGCGGAGGGACATTTACTTAAATTGCACTGCTTATGCTATTTAAGAATCAATTACAACTCCTTGATTTTTGTTGGTGGATACAGTTTTAAAGAAAATAAACTTTTTCTAATGGCCTCCAACTTAATAATATTTTCCTTTTCTTTTTCTCTGTTTCGCCTTTTCTTTGTCAAGAACCAAATCTGGGGGAAATGTGCTTCCAAGGGATGGGGAGGGGAGCTGGGGAGCAACAAAGAAAAATGAAGAAAAGAACATATTTCATTTTTCTGAGAGGTAACTGATAATAAAGTTGTCATAGGAATTGATGAAAATAACAAACGGTGGGTTTTTTTAATATAATAAAAGCTCTATTGCCTTCCAACTTCTTGCAAGTAAGTGACTGTAAAAGTGAAACATGTCCAATTATCTATTTCTATATATACCTCCAGTGAGAATCAATGGGGAATCTCTCTCTGGAGGGAATCCCACTATTACACATAGCTCCCTCCCACAGCTCTTCTCCCTTGTACTGTTTTAGCCTTTTGCACAACACAAACAAGTTGCCATCCTTTCAATAGCTGACCACACACCCGCTCCCCATAGACACCCCCTCTTGCTCACCAGCCCCATCTGTGGGTTGGCTCAGGTCAGGAGTCACAATCTGGAACTTTGCCCAAGGTCTAATTATAACAACGTCCTTTTCCTCTGACAGGGCGTACGTGTTCATTTCTAAACCATTTGGCCCAGTGACCAAACATAATTAAGTTAATGCAATTTTTCCAAGTCTTATCAGAAGGGTTAGCCACATGGGATGGGATCCGTGCTAACTGCACACAAGTGTCTTCTTTCAATTGCAGGTTCAAAATTCTTTCTTTAGTCTCACTCTTTTCTTCATTCGCATCTCAGAAATTATAATTTTCAAGCAAACATATCCTAAGTAAGCAACGTTCCACAAAGAGTAAGACACCTGAAAAAACTGCTAGGCCAGCAGCTCTCCTGTGCAAGAGAGTTGATTATCACAGTTTTTCTCTCATTATCCTGTCCTTCACCACAGTGAACAGCCAGAGCACAACTATAATTAAAATAGAGAAAATTACTTTTGTATCATCACCTTTGGAAAAACAGAAGAAGGAGAGAGAACTCTATGGGTTAACTAAACACACGCTGTCCTGTAAAACCAGTCTGCAACATAAGGAAGTATTAATGGTAAACACTGATGTGCTCACTTCCAGGGCTGTATGTCCACTGATCATCAGCAGACACACAATATCAGTGGATGTAGCCACAGGTCTCATCTGAGTGGGAAGAATGGGACTAAATGTATGATGAAGAATCGCTGTCCACACAGGTTTATTCTAACAGGAGAGGAAACAAAGTAAATCACTTCCATTTCTCTGTCAATCTGTATCTTTCTCTATGGCAGTATAAAACATATAAATGTGACGTATTGTCACAGAAGTAGAAAGAAACCTGAATTTGGTCTGGTTTGGAACATAAGCCAACTGACCCCCCCACTCCCAAATCCAAGTTAAATCTCTATGTTATTCAACTATTAAATAATGAATCACCAGACATTCATGGTACTATAACAGCTACATCTGTTATAATTGCTTACTGATGATGAAATGGAGAAAATAAGCACCGTGCTCCTAATTGTCAAAATATACACATTGGGTAAAACTAAACAGTTCCATACCGAACCTATGCTCAGTCCCCTGGACCACATTGCTTCTCCAGCACACAGATGGTAAAACTATGAGCTTCACGGCAGGTTCCAATTACCATGGGAATTTTCCATGTATGTCACATGTAATGTGACAGATGTCAGACACAATACAAAGCAGTTGCAGCATGGGGGATGGGGAAAGAGACACAGAGGCAATCCATTCGTTACATCTACAGTAGTAGCCCAGCTCCTTTGGTTTGAATTTGTCACCATACTACAGAGTTTCTTGATCTCCAGTGTCTCAGCAACAGAAGAACCAACTATTTAAAATTCACAAAGTTAAAACCTTTCTTTCAGGTAGGAGGGTCGTCCTTCCTGAAGAGAGCACCTGCCTACTATGTTGGACAGGAAGACATCAGATCCAAAATGGATCAACAGCTCACAGGAAAGAAAATCCTGGAAAAGGAGCGGGGCCCTGTGCAGGGACAGGCACTCTGTCCCGGTGAGCCATGGCCCACACTTGCCAGTTCCACCAGAAGAGAGAGCTCAGCTTGCAACACGCTCTGTGTTTTGAAGCCAGTTCATGGATTTTCCCTCCCACAACACACCAAAATAAGGGTGCAGATCTCAAGG